AAAATTAATATATATATATATATATATATATATATATATATATATATATATATATATATAATTGAATAGACGCTCACAGAAACCGTTTATTTTATTAAACAAGTAATTTATACAAATGAAGTAATTATAAATGGTCATAAATTTAATAACTAATACTTGGTTGACATTCCTTTTGCTTTTTTTTAATGCAAGGACCCTTCTAGGCATGCTAGAATGAATATTATCTTGAGGGAATTCTTGCCATGTTTGACGCAATAATCCTAAAAGTTCGGGCTTAGAAGTTGGCTTCCTGTTCTTTTTGCAGAGTTTTCAATCTAATATGCCCCAAAGGTGTTCAATAGGGTTAATATCCGGGGACTGACTTGGCCATGTAAGTTTATATATCCCATTTTGTCTCAACCAATGTTGCGTTGCTTGAGCAGTGTGACATAGAGCTCCATCTTCCATAAATAGGGAGTCAACTTTGCTCATTCTACTACTTGAGAATATTGGAAGGAGCCTTTCTTTAATATAGAAACATATTTGGTTGAATTAATGTTTCCTTCACACTCCACAAGCTCTGAGCGACCACCATTCCAAATTGCGCCCCATACCATTACTGAAATGCCCCATGTTTCACCGTTGGCTGCAGTCTTTTTAAATCAACTTCTTGACTACAGAGTCTCCATACCCATACTCTTCTACTGTCAGAAAATAATGTGAATCTTGACTCATCAGAGAAAATGACAGTGGTCCAAAAGGTCACAGGTCTCTCCACCATCTCATGAGCCCAATCCTTTCTGCGTTTGATATTGGTTGGATGGAGAAGTGGTTTCCTTCTTGCAGCTCTGCCATAGTAGCCCAGCTTGTGAAGATACCTGACAGCTTTTCTGGGACTGACATCAACTTGTGTTGCTATGTTAGAGGCCTTGCAATGTGGATACTGTTCAACATTTCTTTCGACAAGACGCATGGTTCTTTCAGGGGGCCCAGGGCGGCCTGGATGAGGTTTTGTGCACTTCTTGACCTCTCTGTTAACAGTAGAAAGGTAATTTTCAGATATTTTTCATTGACTAAGACCACCTTCATGTTGGCCCACGATACGTCCTCGCTGAAATTCGGATAAGCCTGATGCTCCTTTGGTTCATGGCATGTTCCAGTATTGTTACCTGCAATTTTAATCAAATAATCTAAGTTAATTTATCTTGGTTATAAAAAAAATCTAAGTTAATTTAAAATCAGAAATAAAATTTATCTTGGTGTCTATTCAATTCTGTCATCTCCGTGTATATATATATATATATATATATATATATATATATATATATATGATATTATTATTATTTTTTATTATAAAATATTATAATAAAAACATTTTGAAATTGCTATGCAAAATTTTGCATGATTCAATACTCTGGTTCTACTTCTTCAGGCGATCAGGCATAAAACCTGGACCTCTATCAGGATTCGATCTTCTTGGAAATTTATATATACATATATTGACCACTAATATTATCATTATATATATATATATATATGCATGTTTCATTAAAAACGACAGACAAGGTACTACGGTTGAGCTTTTTATTTAATTTTCTTGTGTTCTGACAAGAGCTTTTCTTTTCTGGACAAAGAGTGTGTAAGAACTGTCCGAATGTTCTGTGTTTCCGAGCGCTTTCATTTATACCTTTAGCCATTATCAAGGATGATTCGATTATCAGCTTAGTAGAGTGTGTGTTCTATGTATGTTCAGTGTGTGGTAGTGATGTTTTAGTTTCCGAATACGGTTAGCACATTGTGGCTTTGTTCATAGTTAATATTGTTAAGGGTTGGCTTTTTCTTTTTTATTATTAGAGCTTCCATTATTTTTAGTCTTTTTTTGCAAGTGTATGCAGTTAATATATTTGTGTTTTCTACTAGTATGTTCCTAATAGTGTCGGGTAAATCTGAGTGTGTGTTTAAATGTGTTCTGATGGAACTGTGATCAGATAGGTGTAATGTAAGACGTCGGGATAAACATGTGGTTGTGTAGCCGATGTAATTATTTATGATATATATATATATATATATATATATATATGAGAGAAATTTAAATTAACAATATTATAGTCTACTTTTTTAAATTAACGTAGATTAAAACTTTTTAAAATTAGTGTAAATCTAACATTTAATTACTTAGTCAAGACATACCCACAAGTCTAATTGTAATTCTGATCTTATATTCCCCCACTTAAATTTTAGAAAAGAAGTAACAGTTTGTTTCTAAATTTCCTTTAAAATCATTTTATCACCAGTTATTTACGATCGCCTCAAGAAGAAAAATCATAGTATTGAATCATGCTTTTGTATAGCAATTTCAAAATGTTTTAGTATAATCTCTTATATAATAATAATAATAATAATAATAATAATAATATATATATATATATATATATATATATATATATAGAGAGAGAGAGAGAGAGAGAGGGGGTGCGATTATGTTTTTAATTTAGCGCATGCGCGTTGTTTGTTTTTGATTTTGTCGACCCAGAAATTTGGAAACGGCATCTTGTACTGCTTGACATTCACACCGGAACCTCCAATAACAACAGTTCAGGGTGTTTGAGTGTCAATCTGAGGTCAGTGCAGAGGATTCGGAAAGAGTTGAATGAGTCTAATGGTGATTACGAAGTTAAGACAGCTCGGAAAACTCATTGTGATCATTCTGATAAGTAAAGAATACCCGATTCCGTTGGTGAAGGCCTCAGCCTCAACAGGGAGGCCTACATCAAATGGCTTGAGTAGGTAGGGGCTGCTCTGAGTCAAGAGGGTGGCTGCTGAAAGACCCTATGTCTGACAACAGGACTCTGCACCATGCCACACTAGCAAGAGAACCCAGTCATGGATGTCATGAAATTTATGCGACAGTATCAATTGTTATATCTGGCCATCTAACTCCCCCAACTGCCACCCCCTTAATTATTATGTGTGGGGCGCAGTTGAGTGAGAGACCAACAAAACTCCTTGTGACCCCAAAGATAAACTGACGGCAAGAATTATGGCAGCATTCAACAACTCAAACAAGGAGAGCGTCCAGAAGAGGTGCAGGAGATTCCGAAGTCAATCTGGAGGCCGCGTTTGAAGACAATGGCGATTTTATTAAATAAATTTATTGTTTTGTATTTCAAGATATTTTTGTGTAGTTTTGGTAAATATATCTGTTAAAATAAGATGTCAGGGTTATTTTCATTTTTGAGTAATTTAGACGACAATTTATCCATCGCACACACGCACAAACACACGCACACACATATATATATATACACACACACACATATATATATATACACACATACACACACACATATATATATATATATATATATATATATATATATATATATATATATACGCACATATATATATATATATGGTGTGTGCGTATTGAATACATGTATTTGAGTTCTTGACCTTGTTTTTTTTTTCTTTATATATAAAATTATAATGTATGTGTCTATATTTTTGATGTGTGGGTGGTGTGATGGATGTCGACGCGGAATGAGAAAAGATAGAGCCGGGTTCGAATTTCAGTACAGTACTTTACATTCACATACAAGAATGCCATTGGAAAATATATTAATCTAGTCTCCCCCTTAATATGGTTTAAATATTGGGGCAGACTGATATTGTTAGGTTTGATAAAAAATAGTTTAGCAGAAAGACAAATATGAATTCAAAACCAGGACAGTGTCAGCTGAAGACATTTTGGCACACGATATGAACCAGTTCTCTGTTTTCAGTTCTTCCGAAAAATGTGATTGGTTTTATAAAATGATTCAAATCATAATCAAATCCTATGTGTTGTTGGTCTGGCTGTTTGGTTCTAAGCACTGAGTCACTCGGCCCACATAAGATGAAAATCACGGGAGAGCCAATTACCATACCAGGTGTCACAGCAAAATTGTCCAAATCGTGTAGCAGCATAATTATCCATCCCACAAAATGTTTAATATCGAAAAAAATCACTCAACTAATTGAGCTTTATTTACATTATTCGGAATATTTTCCTCATCTTTGTCGCCATATTTATTACAAAGTTTCGGGCATTGTACGCTCCGACCTTCTTCAGTATCTGTCTATATTTCTTAAATGAGGTATTATGTACACTATTTACATTATTCCAACTGTTGTCCTCATCTTTGTGGCCATATTTATTACAACTTTTCGACTGTTATACGCCCCGGCCTTCATCAGTATCTGTCTATATTTTTGAGATGAGCTATTATGTGCACGATTTACATTATTTGGACAATTGTCCTCGTCTTTGTCGCCATATTTATTACAACGTTTTGGCCGTTGTACGCTCTGGCCTTCTTCAGGTGGTTGGAATTTCGAACTGAACCCTTTATTTCGCTCACTGGGGTAGACTGTTCTAGTTCCACGTGCCATTTTTAATGGATGTTAGTTATCAGTAATCTCCTGTTAATTTCCCTCTGAAAGTTCTCCACTGCCTTAACCGGGTATTGAACTCACACTCTTTGGGTCCTGTCACTGGATCTAACTAACGCCTTTATCCACTGTGCCATGTGTCCTTGAGGTTAAGGGCGTAGTTAGATCCAGTGACCTGACCCGGGTTGTAGTCCCTGTTTGGGTCCCAGCTATGGGCAAATATTGAAGACACAAACAAAAATAAAACATTATAAAATGACCAGCTATATATTTTATAGTAAAATTACCAGGAATACAATTTTATATAAAAAATACCAATAATACCTATGTATAGTAAAATTACCAACAATACAAGTACAATTTTATAGTAGAATTAGCAACAATGCAATTTATAGCAAAATGACTAATTGCTATTTAGTGTCTTCATGTTCATTTATTGTTCTTATGCCTTAAATACTATTTTCTTTTTCAAATATTCTCTAACACTCAGTAAACCCGTCCACCATCTTTTAAAAATCATCGTCTTTTGATATCTATCTATCTATCTATCTATCTATCTATCTATCTTAGTCTGTTCATATGTACAATAGTCTTTTTCTATCTATCTATCTATCTATCTATCTATCTATCTTAGTCTGTTCATATATACAATAGTCTTTTTCCATCTATCTATCTATCTATCTATCTATCTATCTATCTATCTATCTATCTCTCCCTCAATCTCTCTGTCTCCCACTCTTTCTCTCCCTATATATATATATATAGAGAGAGAGAGAGAGAGAGAAAGAAAGAAAGAAAGAAAGAAAGAAAGAAAGAAAGAGTGAATGGGAGAGAGAGGCACAGAGAGAGACGCCTGCTTTCATAAACTTTTGCAAGAAAACATTTTAAACTTAAAGCGTCCTGACAAAAATACCTACACGCACATAAACGCATACACTCTTTCGCGTGCACTTACACACCCGCACACCGACGACATTTCTTAACTTCCATACGCCGTTCCGTCGAAGAGTGCGCATGCGTACATACGGATTTTTAAAGACCTCTTTCACACCTGAACGACTCGGCACGACACAACATGACTAAATAAGCCCGAAGCTTAGAGAAGGGGCCAAGCTACTTATGTATTTTACGGGCCCTTGCAAAAGACAGGCTCGATTTGTTTGTAGTTTATATTCATTTGCTTAGGTAAATACTTCACTTATATTTTTCGGCGCAGACGTTTTTATTTTATAAATAATCGGTTCTTTTGTTTGTTTTTTTTGTTTTAGTTGGGTTTTTTTTTATCGTTTGTTTGCAATTTTCTGGAGTTCGTCTCCGCTGAAGGTTTTTGAATTCGATTTAGTTCGCATGGATGGTCAGTGCTTCTATGGTCATTACCGAAGTGAATCAAAGAGTAGCATCAGAAGATGCCTTTCCACCTCTCTCTATATATCTACGTATATATATATATATATATATATATATATATATAAATAAATAGAGTGAGATGTAAATTTATATATATATATATTTGTGTGTGTGTGTATATATCTAGATATATACATACACACACATATATATATATATATATATATATATATATATATATATATATATATGTGTGTGTGTGTATAAGGAGAATTAAATTCATAAAAATAAATGTATTCGTATGTGATTCAATTTCCGTGAATTCATATGTATATATATATATATATAAACTTTGTGAGTATGTCGACTTATATATATATATATATATATATATATATATATGTATGTATGTATGTATGTATGTATATATATATGCACATATATATGTGTGCGTGTGTATATATTAAATGGAAACTACACAGATCTACATAGGAAAATATGTAGAAAATGCATAGTTCCTTCATCATATTTATATATACATACACACATAAATATCTGTATAATACATATATATATATATATATATATATATATATATATATATATATATAGAGAGAGAGAGAGATCAGCATATATGTAAATGTATATCATTACAGTAAATGCTATCATTAATATAAATATATATCATTAATGTATATAGAGATATATATGTGTGTGTGCGTATACAAGTGTGTGCATGTGTGTACGTAAATGTAAATATTTAACATTTCTAATTTATCAGTTTTCATTATAATATATATATATATATATATATATATATATATATATATATATATATATATAATTATTTATTTAAAAATATGATTCCAAATCGCTACATAAGAGGTCTCATGTTTCAAAACAAGAGCCGAAAACTTCAATATAATCCTTTAAATTAAATTGAGTTGAAATTAAAAGGGCTCCGTTCCATCTTCAAGCGAAATTTTGTTGGAATAACGTATATCTGAAATTTACTTGTTTTAAAATTGAAATCAAAATCCCCATGGTAACAGCTAGGTGAATTGTCTAAATTGGGTAGGCGAGTGTGGGGTGTTATTAATAAGTAGCTGTATAGAGATACTTTCAAGGTGTCAAGTCGGGGAAAGGTGGGGTGTCAAAAATGAAACGGAAGATGTATTAGCCATCGTCTAGTTTGCTTGTCTATGGAGATTTATTTATTTATTTTATTTTATTTTATTATGAAAGGGAATTGCATATAAAAAAAAAAAACTTTCGTAACGTTTGTTTTTTGACGACTTCATAAAGGGTTATCTTTTATGTAAGGTATTTAAACTACTAATTTAGGCTATGGATTATGAAGGGTGTTATGTTGTATGCATGTTTGTAGTTAATTATTCCTACTATGAATCTGATGGTTGGGCTATTTGTTAAACAAGTTATATAAATTTTTTTTTTTTTTATCTAATAATTCAAACCAAAAATCTGATGATGCCTACAAAAAACCGTTAACTCGTGTCTGTTATTTAATAGATTATTATTATTTAGAAGTTTAATAATGTGCAATTTTTCATGGAGGCACAAAGGGCATGGGTCATCCCAAGCTTTACATATTCTAGCCTTGTCAATAATTTTCCATATCTGTCAAGAATAATTGACCTTGAATAACCTTTAATAAATGTCTTGAATATTTATAACCTTGAATAATCATTCGGCTCTTTTTTTTAAAAAAAAAAAAAATTTTTTACGAAAATAAAACCATCCAAGATTGTAAATTTCCGAAAAGAAATTGGATTGTACTCAAAAATATGAGTAATTGAAAAATGGTTCAAATATATATATGCATACATACACGTTTTTTTTTGTTTTTTTTTTACCAAACTATAGCTATGAATCTATTTTTAAAAAATTTTGGCATTAAATGACCCACTGAGGTTTTGATATGTCATAAAATAAACCTACCGACTCTGGCGTAATTACTTAACTCTGGTTCGTTTACGTTTGATTAATGGCTGCTCGATTTTGTGACTCGTCATTTAAAGATTTTGTCTTTCGTCCTGCTTTTCTCGTATAGCGAAACATCTCATTGCTTTTGAGCGTCAAGATCATCCGACGTAGGGATTGACGAAATGTACAGAAATTCTTCCTGAATTTTTCAGTCACAGCAGCTGTCACCATTTTTCAACGGTTGTCTCGCGTCTCTCTAAATTTAACGCTTTTTTATTTTTTACTGGGCCCCCTGTGGTTGCACATTCAGTCAGTTATGTATCATACGTGATACACGGTTGGACGATCATGTATCGTTCGATACATGACTGACGAGGCAGATTTTTTCCTGCAGTAGGTTGCCATTTCTTTCTGCAATAGACTGGTTGCCAACCAAGGGTGAAGTAACCAGTCTGTCCAGCTATTCAACCTATAGCTGGGGGGATGAGAGATGGATTCATGCCTTTCCTTTCCCAAGAGTATTTGTGCGTAAGTTAATCTAACGAACTCGATTGGAATTCAAACTCGGCTCTCCGAGTTCTCAGGATTGATTTGGCTTGGTTTGTTTTGTTTTATAACCTCAATGGTTTATTTAATGCGGACAACATCTTTATTGCTGGTAATATTTTTTTTCCAAAAAATTATTGCTGGTAATATGTTTTTCTTCAAAAAACGATAGCTTGTAATATTTTTTTCAAAAAATGTATAGATGTTTGAATTGTTGGCAATACTTTTTTTTTAAATATTGTTGATAATTTTTTCCTTCAAAAAATGTATTGCTGGTTATAATTATAAGTATCTCTGGTATTAAAACTTATCTTTACTCTTTCATAGTGTTTTGACCCCAGTTTGCTCAGAGCTGGGACCCTAACTTGTTCTACCACCCCGGGTCAAGGCGGACCTGTGAACACCAGCAATTAAGAGGTGGTTCCACGTTCCTCAAAACCTCCTGATCAGAGGCCTTGCTGTTGGACGTAGTTTATCATCTTACCCTGGACGCGGATGCCGTTTATCGTCATACCCAAGACGGCCACATACAGGGATCACCTCCTCGGGGTGATGACATCAAGAATTCACCTTCCTAACAAATCGATCATGGTAAGGTTCAAAACAAGGCTTCATGGTCAGAAAGAAAACATTCTAATATAGACAAATGCCCATTAAGGTACTTTGACAAAGTGTAATGGTTAACAAGCTTTTCATGGCAGATCAATTATAAGTAGTGCTTTTGATCCTCACTGAGTGCTCCATACTTTTGGATGTATTCTGAGTGTTAAGTATTTGCCCATAGCTGGGACCCCCCAACAGGTGCTACCACCCCGGGTTAGGGTGAACCTGGGAACACCAGCAATTAAGAGGTGGTTCAACGCTCCTCAAAACCTCCTGATCAGAGGCCTTGCTGCTGGACGTAGTTTATCGTCTTACCCTGGACTCGGATGCAGTTTATCGTCATACCCAGGACGCAGATTTGAGTCGGTTTGAATCTGGTAATAATTATTTTTACAAAGTATTTCTGGTCTTAAGACCTATTTTTACACATTCATAGTGTTTTGATACCAGTTTGGGGGTTAACTATTTGCCCATATCTGGGACCCTAACAGGTGCTACTACCCTCAACTAAGAGGTTGTTCCACGCTCCTCAAAACCTCCTGATTAAAGGCCTTGCTACTGGACGTAATTTATCGTCTTACCCAGGACGCGGATGTAGTTTATCGTCAAACCCAGAACGGTTTTTTTTCGGAAATTAGGCTTATCAAATCTATTAAATGGTATATCTCTTTCTGATATGGATTGGAGTTTCCTTCCAAGCTTTGTTTTTGGTAGTGTGGCATATCAACATGTTGATATACCATAATTTCTATTTTTGTTTACATGTGTTATTCCTTTTTGTTATTACTGTTAGAAGTGTTTAATGCCAACAAAATTTTGAAATAGATTCATAGCGATAGATTGGTTAAAAAAAATGGTGTGTATGTATACATATATATTTGAACCATATTTCAATTACTCATTATTTTTGAGTATAATAACGTATTGCTGGTAATTTTTTTTTTCTTCAAAAATTTATTGCTGGTATTATTTTTTTACAAAGTATTTCTGGCATTAAAACCTATTTATTATACACTTTCGTAGTGTTTTGACCCCAGTTTGGGGGTTAACTATTTAATCATAACTGGGACCCTAACAGGTGCTGCCACCCCGGGTCAAGGTGGACCAGAGTACACAAGCAATTAAGAGGTGGTTCCACGTTCCTCAAAACCTCCTGATCAGACGCCTTGCTGCTCGACGTAGGACCGAGTTCTCACCCCGAGCCGATATTCATTACACCACCACGCATATTAGCTTTCTTTTTACACTGAAACAATGCCTAAAATTTCTGCTGAGACAAAGATGAACGTTGTGACATTGAAGAGAAGATATATCAAGACGAAATAAACAACCAGAAGTAAATTTCCAGAACAGAAGAAGAACTTCAACGGGTGTATAGCAACAAAAGAATAACTTCAACGGACGTTTAGCAAAAAAATGAAAAGAACTTCAACAAGTGTATAGCAACAAAAGATGTATAGTAACAAGAAAGAACTTCAACGGGCGTATAGCTACAAAAGAAGCACATCAACGGGCGTATAGTAACAACAGAAGAACTTTAACGGGCGTATAGCAGCAAAAGAAGAAATTCAACGGTCGTATAGCAACAAAAGGAGAACTTCAACGGATGTATAGCAACAGAAGAACTTCAACGGGCGTATAGC